ACAGCGGAACAACTCCACTACTACTTGGTATACTGGCTGCTGTTATCAATTGTTTGTTTTGGGGGTTGAGATCCTGTGTTGGTTTTGAGAGTAAGAAGTATATAATTGTGCGTCATGAGCGATAAATGCTAAAATATTGGCTCGTAACCAAGGTAAATAATTTTAGTAATATAATGACGTAAAATTCCATGACCAAACAGAAGACTAGTTATGTGCCCTTTAGAAACGAATTTAAAATTAGCCCATGCATTTGTTCCTTCCGAGATTAGCTTGAATTTATCGAAAATAACATAGCCAACAATTTTTCCGAAAGTTTTCGAGCTGAAGCCAAAGACTCAGCAACCTATAATGTATACATTGGCCATGCGTATACTTGTCAAACTTACGCATGTTTCTCTGACGCATGCTCCGCGCAACCATAGTATATGCGCGCTACGAGCATTCGTGCTTCACGTGCCTATGCTTACACGTGTACGTAACGCCGTGTTTCTGGACACGGTCTGAGAAGAGATAATCGAAGGGTTTGCGTGACAGCATCACATGCAACGGCCGATGATGTCACGGTGTTTGAAATTGCAGAAATGATGCTTATCTGCTGCCGTGTATATACGGTGGCTAGCTCTACTGATCGCAGGAGCAGCAAGGATGGCTCAACTCTTAATGGGACACTTTCACCCTCGTCATTTGTTGAGAATATGAGGATGAATATCTATAAGTAAAATAAGACCATAGATTGTACAAATTGCGGTCCTTAATATTAGGCATTTTGAATGTGTTTGTAAAAACGTGGTCATTCACATGAAATGCAGATATACAAATCTTTCAAGTGTCCAATTCATTTGAAGATCGCTTTAGGATGCTATCAAATGACGCACTGCTCGAGGAAGTTTGTTTTTGGTTAGATTGATTTCATTCAACAGATAACAAATTCAACAACAAATATTCACAAGGTCTTGATATTTGCTGAGTACGCGATTAGCTGAGCTGAGATTAACTGAGTACGCGAACATATCGTTCGCGATTAATTATTTGTTTTTTTTTTACTGATGGGTCATTTCACGAAGTACAGTATTTTTAGAATGAACTAAAATAGCCTGTCTAGCTGATTTCTGAAAATTTACGTTCATAATGTTGAAATTTATAGCTAAGGTCATAAAAATGTACAAAAATTCAATGTTTATTATTGTATAATTCTATAATAATGCTTGGTGTTGACTGGAAATATGTTAGGTATTTTAGAGCGTTGATGTTCTGAGGTTTGCGCATTCCAAGGACCTGTATTGCAATATTTTTTGTGGCTATTTGCGAGCGTTCTGGCAACGTGATTTTGTCATATTGCAAAATATCTAAAATTCACATGCGACTCTATTGAAAAGCTCTTGAATAAGACCATAAAATTTGAATATATTCATATGAGATGTGAAATAAAACTTAGAATAAATTGTTTCAATATATTTGTATTTGAAGATAACAATTTCTTTTCTAGGCTCGGTTTCCACTAATCTTACTCTAACTCATACGTACTATAGTGGTTTTAGAATTAGGATGAAATAAATAAAAAATGATGCACGATAATGTATGCCAAACAGCTCCAAGTGGACCGTCTCGTAAGTCATGAATTATTATAGCTATTATTATATATTATATGATATATTATATTATATCAGTATGTCTAGCAATATAAGTAAAACAATTTCTTATAAATAATCAGAACATCGATCGAAAAAAACTTTTAATATTATTAAATCTAATTATCAATAGAAGCACTCCATAAATTATTATCATATTTGCTGATAAATTCACTCAATAAAAAATATAGATTCCTCTATAAAAATTAATTGGCGTCATATTAATATTTTTAGATACTCTACTAAATGTAATGCTAACTATATTATTGACATGTATTATATAATTAATAACAGTAGTAATTCCTCTACAACAAAACGATAATTTGTGTATTTCTATAATTACATAAAATATCTAGTTTTGTTAAATTAACTTCAGCGTTTTTTAATCTGGTTCCACCAGCTGCAGATGCGCTCGATTACCTTGAGGCTAATTTGGCAGGTGGCGCGTACAAAGCCAGCTGTGCTGACTGGAATGTGCAGATGCATGGACTGTGTGCATGGAATGCCATGGCTTCCTGTTTGATTTTACATTTATGTCCCTACCTTGAACGGTTCTATTTCCCTACTTTACATTTATGCCCCTGCCTTGAACGGTTTTATCCCCCTACTTTACATTTATGTCCCTACCTTGAACGGTTCTATTTCCCTACTTTACATTTATGCCCCTGCCTTGAACGGTTTTATCCCCCTACCTTACATTTATCTCTCTACCTTGAACGGTTTTATCTCCCTACTTTACATTTATCTCCCTACCTTGAACAGTTTTTGATCCCTACTTTACATTTATGCCCCTGCCTTGAACGGTTTTATCCCCCTACTTTACATTTATGTCCCTACCTTGAACGGTTTTATCCCCCTACTTTACATTTATGTCCCTACCTTGAACGGTTTTATCTCCCTACTTTACATTTATGTCCCTACCTTGAACGGTTTTATCTCCCTACTTTACATTTATGTCCCTACCTTGAACGGTTTTATCCCCCTACTTTACATTTATGCTCCTGCCTTGAACGGTTTTATCCCCTACTTTATATTTATCTCCCTACCTTGAACAGTTTTATCTCCCAACATTACATTTATCTCCCTACCTTGAACAGTTTTATCTCCCTACATTATATTTATCTCTCTACCTTGAACAGTTAAATCTCCCTACATTATATTTATCTCTCTACCTTGAACGGTTTTACCTCCCTACCTTTCATTTGTCTCCCTACCTTGAACGGTTTTATTTCCCTACTTTACATTTTCTCCCTAACTTGTAGTCACCTCGAGACATCCAGATGCAAATGTGAATCCAAGCAGCTTTTTTACTTACGAAAAAAAGCATTTTTACGAATCCTAAAAGTATTTTTGTTGACGGAAAAAATTGTTTTCAATTCGTAAGTAAATAAAGTACAAATAATTTTTCAGTTGGTTCAAATCTTTTTGGGATTTACGATTTCATTGACTCCTCATATTTACATGAAATACAGTGGGTTATGATGCTTGTTTGTGGAAATTAGGAACAACTGTAAAGCTAGAACATAATAAAGCTACGTGCACCATCTACTCAATAAAAATTTTTGAAGCGCCTATAATTATATAACAATTCATTTTATTTTATCTTATGGAGTGCAGAGAGATGGTAAGTGAACCTCTTTGTTGGCCTTTATTAGGTTTTAGCATTGTTTATCAATCACTTTTTAGCATTGTCTTGTAATTGTGCACTCCTATCTGAACAAAATAGGAATAAGTAATGCAAGGAGTGACATACTGTATATGAATGATTCATAAACAAACTGGTTGATGCCCTGAAACGGTTAATGAATGGTGGTCACCATCAGAGAATTGTGTACACCCAAGCATGCTAGAGTAACGCAGTCATATTTTGTTTCAAAATAAATTTTATGCATATATGCAGCTTATGAAAAATTTGCGACGCCGAATAAATTATAACGCGGCATACTTTATTATAATCGACCGTAGCGTTTGGTGCAAACTTGTATCCATATATTCATCTCACATGAGATGCTATCAGAAAATTGAACATTCTATTCAAGATTCATCGTTTTCTAACTCTCGCACTTGGATATTGATACACCGCGAAAACATCGAGCAAAATATGCCGTGTGGATGAACAATTTCACTAACTTTTGATGGTAAATATTTTAAGAGGTCCAAATGTACTGTAATAGAGCCTGGTGATCCGTCATCTTTAATCGTAAGTGCAACCTTTTACTGTGAAACTATCAAAAAATATAACTCAGTACTCACTGCAGTGACTGACACAGAGCACATTTTTCTCGTCGACGAAAACGTGAAGTCACGGACGGACAGACAGACAGACAGACGGACGGACGGATGGACATGGCGAGCACAATAGTGCATTTTTTCCATAAAAGGGAAAATGCACTAAAATGGTGGATGAAGGATTAGTCTTAATAACCTCCGGCTCGGACGTGCGTCGTATGAATAACAAAGGAAGAAAGAAGGATAGTTTGGCCCATCCGAGAAGGTTAAGAAGAAGGATAGTTTGGCCCGCCCGAGGTTACAAAGGTCTAGCCGAAACGACAGTTGCACGTAGGAGGCCCAAAGAGATGTGTGTGTGGGGCAAAGCAAAGTATAGAAGGCGACCTTCAATGAGTCCGCTGGTTGGCACATTCAAGACAGGGCAGATATTGTTCGAATAAAAATTGTATAGCAATTCGAACTATAGAGATCTTAGAGCCTTGAGGAGTCCTATTTATCTAAGATCAAATATTGTGAATATTTGTTTGTAAAAGAAATGAATTTAATAATAAATAAGTTTTTACTACCAACTTTAAAAACTTATGACATGCACAATTAAGTTAGAGAATAATTAATTACCAATTCAGAATTTTGGAGCTCAGTATTGAAAAGTGGTTTCTCTGCGTATTCAAATGGTTCTCAGTAAAAGCACATGAGTAAATCTAACATTATATGTTTCTGATTGTTTGATGCCTGTAGGGCCTAACGAACTTCTATTTCCATAATACTGTATGTGTTTTCATTTTGCATGGCTGACTGCTTTACGCTGTGCCCTTGGTCATACCTCCCAAAATATTAACGAACTATGTGTTTGATTGCCGTAATATGAAGTGCCGTAGAATAATAAGCGTTGGTTAGTCTTCGGTTTTGCTTAAAAGAAAATAGAAAAGAAGCAAACTAAATCGTCATCGTAAGCTTTCCCGGAGGACTGACAGAGGAAGACTAGCAGCAGAGGCTTCTGGCCTGCTGCGACGTAGCGCACGCCTAATGCACACAACAGCAATCCCAAGGCCATCCAGGGGCAGGGGTGGGGAGTCTTCCTCTAGGGGTGATGTAGGTGAAGGTGGTGGTGAGCGAGTCAGCAAGGCTGCACCGCCGACCATCCACAACTCTCGTGCTCTGTGATTGTGTTGCTGACGGTGAAGCCGTGAGGTTGTGTGGTGTGTCTGCTGCAGCCCTTGAAGCATATGCTGGCTCACGAGACTTTTTAACTACTACGTGATAAATTCATATATGAGTGTTATGCATTGTGCATGTAACCCATATCCTGCCTTAGTAATACTGCTACTGACTGGGAATTGTTAATTTGTTGTCCACGTGTGAAATATTCCAACTGCAGTGCCTCCAGTCGAAATAAAATGTATAGTACCTGGAGGATAATTGAATCAATCCTATGAATAAGTGAACTGTGCCGTCTACGCGACGAAAAAGTTGAAAAATATTATGTGACTATTATTTCTTCCTCGTAACTGGATTCACAGAGAAACTAAATTGTGTTTGATAAATTTTCATGAATGCAATCATTCATCAGCCCCACTAAATAACTTTGTGATGTGACCGATTGCTTTCTTATTTTCAAAATGATCTCAACTGTGGGCATTCGTACTGAATCGTGAGGCTGTTCTGTTTAGTATTGTACAGGATTGTCAGCCTTCTCTTCCGCCGTTGATTCCTCAGTGCACAGAGGAATCTACCCTCTCCTCGAGGCCAAGCTCTGTTCTCCCAACGTGTATCCCTCAACCGCCACAATTTCTACATCAGCCGTGAACCCTCCACCACTACACACACTCACACATTTCACTCACCCTCTACCACCGCTCAATCCACTACCTCAAAGTCTCCAAAACAGCTTGCGTTCCAATTTTTCTCTCCCCATTACACCTCCTCTTAGTCACCTCACTCCTGACCAATACGTCAAGCTGTTACCTCACCTGCCTCCACTTCCACCTCTCAATCGTTACAACCCAGACACACATCGTCCACGATCGACACCTCATCCTTCGAGATCACCTTTCCGGGTTCCTCAATCTCCTTCGCGACTAGCGCAATCTCCTTCGCCGTTCCGTAATTCTCATCATCTAGTCTACCGTACTCCCAACATTACCACCAAACCCCAACCGACGAGTATTGCCACTCAACATTCCACACCCAACAACAGAAAGCAAACTGCCGAAGTGAATCCAGAACTCAGCCCATTGCTCGCTCTTGAGTCTTTGGCATCTATCATGGTACAAAGTGTCAAACTGCCCACCTTTTGCTCGAGGTACGTACACTGAAGTAAATCACTTACCCACAACAGACAAGCACTCAACGACACTCGTTAGTAAATCAATAAATGATAGTTTTTCTGTGAAATTAATTGACAGACTGATCAGTACATAACGATGCAAATGCTTGACGTGATACCGAATGTGACTGTTGTGGAAAGGAAGTGACTTATGAAAACTACTGAGGACCTTTAACTAGCTCTAGGCAGGACAAGTTTACATAGAATAAACACGGCAAGCTCAACTTAAAGTTCCTCATCTAAGTGCCTAAGAAATACATGTAAGTGAATTTTTTAACGACTCTCAATGTCTTGAAAATATTCTTCACCTAATGCCTTTTGTGATGAAAAATTTATAATTGTTTAGTTGAACTACTCATCATCAAGGATTGCTTCTAGAAGCCAACACATTATTGCGTGACTACTTACTCAGCTGACGATCAGTGAGACTTGCATCTCAACCCAGTACTCATGCCGACCCAGCTGAAGACTAATAGGTACGAGACGTTATCCCTGATAGCCTTACATACTTTTAAATGCCAATATTTGTTTGTTATTATGATTTACAGGTTCGACGAGAATTATTACTCTTTACATAATCTTTTCATCTCTAACCGCATTATAATAAAAGCTAACCGTTGAATAATTCCAGGCCACCTAGGACTTTTTTCTCATATTAATAGTTTTGATGTCATCTATTCTTATATATTCTTTTCATATACCAAGATAATATATATACTATTCGCCGGATATCTATTTGCAGAGCGGTTATCTCCTTCAATAGTTAAATGAACCTAATTTTAAGTTAACGACGAAGATAGTAAGTACATAGTAGGCATATAACAATGAAGATAGTGTGTGCAGAGTCACAGGCTTTAGTTTCAGACGAAGCCTGAGGGATTTCCTCTGCACTCTATCCGTCATCACTTCCGCATGCGTCAATGATCTGTTGGATTTTTTTTAGCCGACATGCTTCATGTCGGGCTTGCTCGAGCTGGTCTACTCGTTCGAAATTTTCTATTGTGTTCAAATTAATCCTCGTAGAATAAATCGAAAAATTTGGTCTAATTTTCACAGAGTCGTAACATACTTCTTTCCCAGACCTCGAATAGCGGACCAGAAAGCAGTTTTTGTGCAAACTTTTTTTTTATGCACATGTTCCAACATATGGATTCAAAATTTTCAGCTTTTACTTTGAACGTCTATTGCAGCACCATCCGAAAGTAGAACACTCAAAATTGCAAGATCTATTATATTCTGTGCTTGCTCCTTGAACTTATTTATTTAAATATGAGCGTTAGTTATTAGGTTAATTGAATGTTTTCTGCTTGCGTAACCTCAAGAGACAAAAACGAACTTGGTATCAAGTATCGATGTTCGATCAAATATGGTGGTGATATATGGTGACTGTCATTTTAACTATGTCTATCCACACACCTCATACTCATGGATTTTATTTAAACTCAAAAAATTTTCCAGTCCCGAACTAATTAATTTCCATGTGAGAGCTTCAGTAACGAAATTACCTCTGTGCATACACTAATTGTGAGTGCCTACGTGTATTTATGGAAGAATGTGCGTATTTAGCGGTCAGTAGTCAGACTGACATATGTTGTTATGATGATGTTATAATATGTGAGTATTAACCAAATCTATAGATAAGTGTACAGAGCATCACATCTAAATTCCTTCAGCAACGCTTGAAATCTGTCGATTATTTTGATTGTTCATCAATTTGTAACCCACGAAGAAGAATCAGTAAGCAGGTCTTACAAGTAATGGCAATAACACGTTATCGACTCATCTCGTCATCTGTCGCGAGGCTTCCAACGACGCATAAGATGTATTTTAAATTGACCTTCTAGTTTTGTTTCATCGTTTGGATGGCAAATTATTTAGAGAAGATTTTGCCTGCATGTTTGCCAGTAAGCATATTTTTCTTTAAATAGTATGTTTTTTCTGATTACTAATAGCTTTTTATGATCTTTCTTAAGAAACCCTCTCCCATACTCTCCCAACAAACAGTAAACGTCCTGATGGGTTTCGAGAGCAGACAGAAACCTGCATAGCAGATACTTGAAATGCGTAAAGCCTTCGTTTGTGCCGAAATAACCAGTAACGCCTGATTTATAAATTTCATACGCACAACAAATCGCATTACAATGTAATACACTAGTTAGCTACTAACCTAAATGCGCGCAACATGAATATTTGTTTGCAGTTTAATTTGTGATTCTTGACATCACTTGAGCACTTCGGTGCAGATCTATGCTTGAGTCACCTTGATTACTCAGTATTTAAGATTTTAGAAGACGATTTGCGATGACTGTGAAGTGTTAAATGCCAATCTAATTTTATTTAAAACGCATCAACTATTTTTCGTGCTAATGACCCAATCTAAATTCAATTTAATGGCGACAGTCGTGAGTCGTGAATTAAATTAACATGAATGACTGAGATGTCGTATTCAACAACCTGTTCCCTGTCAAGAAATCGTGTTCATCATCCAGTTTGGTGACGTAAATAAGTAAAATTTCAGAAATTTGAAGCTGTTTTTTAAATCAAATTTGATGTCAAGAAGACTTGTATGACAGACAACGCATTCGTCTGCAAGTGTCTGCGGCCTGCAACCTGCAACACTTTGTCCTTGAAGCTTAGGTGCCACTTCGTGGACCTGCCAGGGGCGAAGAGTATAGGTTAGGTTAGCTGGTGGAGAGCTCCAAGACTATAAGCCGTCTTCCAAGGACTTTCTGCTGGCGTGCCTAATATGACATTCGAAACGAAATGATTAAAATGTGAAATTAGTTCCTGAGCTCAACTTGATTTATTTCTAAAAATAGATATTGATTATTACTAGTATATATAATAATGATCATAATGAGGTTGAATTTATTTTCTAAGTGGAGGATATTAACGTAAACGTTGAATTAGTTCACTGATACTCGTATATGCATTAAATGTTTAATGGTATTTGGCAATCCTTATATCGGTTGGACTAGCAGATGGTAAATGCAGATGAAGTTACAAATGCAAATGCAAAAGGTAATAACGTCGTTATAATTTATTAATGACACTATTCTGCCTCGTCCATATCAAAATAAACCGGTTATAGAGAAATATTTATTGGATTGTGTGCTGAAATAACTTATCGTAAAGAGGAAGTTAGGAATATTCTTCTATTTTGTAGTGTTATTCCGACGTAAGTACTGTGACACGCGCCCGGGGACAGTACAGTACACTTGGTGCTCGACAGTGAGGGTAACACGATCAATCATTGCAATTGGAACAACGTTTCTCTAATCATGCATCATTTAAGACACATAAGAAACGTTGATTTCGTGTATCATTCAAAGTTTCGTCGATTCTACAATAAATGTGACATTTAACAAACATCGATGTCTTATATTGGGCGTTTCTTTGATGTCACATCTCATTCATGCATCGATACTAAGCAACTTTTGAGCCATTGTATTTAGCCATTGCAATATTGTTGCATGCTGCGCAGTTCTTACTTGACGCTTGAATGGGATAGGATTACCAAATGTTCCATTTTCTAATGCGCACTATGAACAATATCATTCAACGAATCTCAAATCAAACTGAAGTCAATTTACATAAAACACTCCTTTCGACGCCCGACTTCAAAACCCGTTTGGTTAAGATATTCAGTTAAGCGATGTTAGGTAAGTTTGATTAAAACAAAATAATATAATTACTGTAAATTTTAATTTTGTCTTCCGTTAAATAACACTGTTGATATCCACTAATCATTTCCCGTGAACGTTATTTTTCCAAACAGGAGAGCTTAGTAGAATTACGTTCCGTACCAACGACAGGCTCCAGCCACTACAACACTTTCACCGAGCGTTGGAAAGAGAACATTCTTTCGCAAGGACCCTCTCTCTTTCTTGGTCTTCTGATCTAGCATTGTAAACGTGCGTGTGCACGGAATCGTGTACTTCACGTCCGTGCTTTCTCAAGCTATTAACAATGTCATTATTTTCCAAACTTTTAAAATTTGCGCAGGAGAATTTGGACTCCTTTGTTTCAACTCTAAAGGGCTTTGTGTATTCGTGCGTGATTTCATCTGATCTTCTTCTCCTAAGTTTTCTTTTGCCAAACAACACAAACTGATAGTTGAAACTCCAGGTACTATTACTCCTAGAGTATTTTAGTCTATAGCTTTTAATGGAGATTGTTGCTCCTAAATTACATCATGGAAATAATTATAGTGCTAGCATTTACCCTCGAATCGCACAGCGAAATAATTGGACCTAATTTGATTAGAAGAGATGATTTTCTCGCGGTCAGTGAAAACTGTTCATCAATTTCTGGTATGACGGGCGAAACACTCGATTCGGAATGGCATTGCGTGCAATGTAGATGCATCAATATTAATGGTGCAATCCGATAGCGGCTGCATCACTATGATGACTTTGAAGTAGTTATTTTTTCTGAATTTTACTTCCATTTCATTTTTCCTAGGTGTTAGAGAGCGTTTTGTTTGCGTTTGGCACTACAATTTTGGACACCAGAAATTTTTAGCCTTTATATCAAAGAATTGGGAGCTTCAACAATATAGTGAAAGTTTCATACATGATATACGTAAGTGCATCTTTACTGTTTGTTGCAAATCTAGTAAAAGAAAACAGAAGTTAGGCAATTAAATGATATTCCAACTCTAATGAAATGCTTTAATTTCGAAAACCTCAATTCACGTGGAAAAGATTCCGCGTCTCATCTTTTGATCCTTAATAGAGGTGTGAAGACCTGCGTGATCCTTTATTGTAGAGGCCATTACGCCGCTGCCTGTAAGGTCAATGGCATGCTTCACGTATTGTGGTGCACCCTGCGATTCTAAGCTTATTTAGAGCACACCTGTCATGAACTGAGGCCGTGGCAGTGACCCCATGAGTATATGAACACAAGTGTTCTGTCCTGCTGTGAAGGTTGATGTCTCATTGGACACACGCTTGTCATGGATGTCTGTGAGGTTT